TGGACTGGAAAGAAACAACATGTTCTGTTTGCGGATCAATAGAAAAATAGCCAAAACGAGAATAAAGGCAACGAATGTACAGCCAAGAAGAATATAGTAAGAATAAAGGTAGAGGCTATAAAGGTGCAGCCAAGTGTATGGAAAGCCTTGAACCAACACCTCCTTCCTGCAGGCATGCTTCCTTGAAGCTCTTTGTCTACTGCAATCTCTCATGCAGACTCCGCAGGAGGTGGCGTGGGACAGCTTGTAAGTCCTGCTTAAGAGGCTGAGATCCAGAAGATTGAGGCTTGAAGCCAGCCCAGGTAGGAAAGTCCTTGAGACTCTATCACCAAAATAACTAGCAAAAAGTAGGTCTGATGGTGTGGCTCAAGGGACAGATTATAAACTGAGCACATTCAGCAAATATGAGTCCCTGAGTTCAAAATCTAAGTACTAGTGAAAAAAAGAACAAAAGAAAGAAAGACAGGAAGAAAGAAAGAAAAAGAAAGAAAAAAAAAGAGAAAGGGAAATGACAAAATCCAGAAAAAGCAGTGAAATGTTGGATTTACTAGGAGTTGAAACTGACAGGGGTAATCTAGCAACCTATTAAACCAACATCCAACAGAGGAAAAAATAGTCAAATATTTAATTAAAGTTGGTGTCTCACACCTATAATCCTAGCTACTCAAGAAGATGAGATCTGAGGCTCATGGTTCAAAGCCAGTGAAGATAGGAAAGTCTGTGAGACTCTTATCTCCAATTAACCACCAAAAAGCCAGAAGTGGAGGTATGGCTCATGTGGTAGAGCACTAGCTTTGAGCAAAAACACTCAGGGATGGCACCCACTCAGGCTCTAGGACTGGCTCAAAACAAAACAAAATTAATAAAAAAAAAATTCTCGGATGTACAAGTTGTCATGTCGAAAACAAACTTTATAACTTTGGTGGTGGGGGGGGAGGATTGGGTAGGGGGGAGGCTGGGAAGGGATGGGAAGGGGAAACAAAGGAGGAGGCTACAATGCTTGGTAAGAAATGTACTCATTATCTTGCCCATGTAATTGTAATCCCTCTGTACAGTATTTTTCACAATAAAAAATAAATAAAAATTAAAAAAAGTTTTTGGCCGGCCGGTGGCTCACATCTGTAATCCGAGCTACTCAGGAGGCTGAGATCTGAGGATCATGGTTCAAAGCCAGCCTGGGCAGGAAAATCTGTGAGACTCTTATCTCCAATAAAAACCACCGGAATGGAAGTGGCACTGTGGCTCAAGTGTTAGAGCACTTGACTTGAGCTGAAGAGCTGAGGGACAGTGCTCAGGACCAGAGTTCAAGCCCCATGACCCGACAAAAAAAAAAAATCCTATAAAACTATCAGAAAACTAGAAGTAGCTCTATGGTTCAAGTGGTAGAGCACTATCCTTGAGCTGAAGAGCTGAGGGACAGTGCCCAGGCCCAGAGTTCAAGCCCCATGACCAACCAAATACTTATATTTTCACCAGGTGCAAGTAGTTACTCAGGTGGCTTAGATCTGAGGATCATATTCAAAGCTAGCCCCCATAGAAAAGTCCCTGTGAAATTCTTACCTCCAATTAACTACTCAAAAACTAGAAGTGTCACTGTGGTTCAAAGTGGTAGAGTGCTAGCCTTGAGCAAAAGAGTTCAGGGACAGTGTCCAGGCCCTGAGTTCAAGGCTCATGACAAAATACAAGAAACAAACAAACAACAAGAAAATACTTAAAAATGAGTACCTTAATTATTTTTTAAAAATAAAAGTATCATTTTATTTTGGATTTTCTGAGTAATAAATTAAAAAATTCAAAAGATCATAAAAATTCCATCATTCAGTTACAGTATCAATTAACATTTCAGGAATAGTGTTATAAACTTTCCTCTGTTTATATACATTTAAAAATAACCTTACATACATTCCTCCATTTTATCATTTACCTTTCTTCCAATATAAGTAAAATAACACACATTCTGGTTATTGGTTTTTTTGTTTTTGGTCCGGTCGTGGGGCCTGAACTCTGGGCCTAGGCACTGTCCCTCAGCTCTTCAGCTCAAGGCTACCACTTGAGCCATAGCACCATTCCGGGCTTTTTCTTTTTTTTGCTTTTGTGGTGCTGAGGAATCAAACCCAGGGCCTCATGCATGCAAGGCAAGCGCTCTACCACTGAGCCACCTTCCCAGCCCCTGGTTATTGTTTTTAAGAGGGAGAAGAGCGTTTTGACATGGGGTCTGGCTATGTAGCCTAGGCTGGCAAGGAACTACCTCTGTAGCCTCAATTAGCCTCAAAATTTCAATCCCCCTGACTCAGCTTCCAAAACACTGAGATTATAGGTGCATGCCACCATACCCAATGATACTGTTTTATTACTGCTTTCTCTACAATCTTGATTTGTTTTCATGTCAGTAAATAGATTATCTTTTTGCTGAATAATTTTACTTAGGCCTTTGATTTGTTCCAATATTCATTATAAAAAGTAAGAACATTCTTTTACATATATTTTTGAACACTTGTATAACTATTTCCTCAAGACATATTCCTAGAAGTTTCTTGCTGAGTTAAAGGAAATAAATGATTACTGCCAGATTGTCATCCAAGATGATCATCCCATTTTAAACTCAAAGTGCAAGAGAGCATTTGTGGGTCTCAACATGCTTCCTATGGTGGTTTAAAAATATCTTCATAAATTCTCTGACTCTCTTCTTCCTTTCTTTTAAATCTCACAGGCCTTTGTACTGCTGCAATAAATCACTACCAAAAATGTTACTGCAAAGTCATACAGCGGGGCGGCTGCCAGTGTCTCCTGGGACACTGGCTGTGGAGCCTTCAGCTGCCAGGTAAATGTCTAGCTATGCTCAGAGACCAAGAGACCACACAGAGTTATGTCTGTGAGGCCCCAGCCATTCAACCCACCTGCTGTTGAACTCTGTCCAGCTCAGACATGTGTGAGCTCTTCTTAGATTATGTATGACTTCAGCACCAGCTGCTGCTTGACCACAGCTGCAGGAGATGCTGAACAAGAAGTGCTTTGCTGAGTCCATTCTCTGGACCCCTCCCCAAAAGGGAGCAAAATAAGTGATTGTGATTGTCTGAAGCAACTGCTGTGGGTGTTTCGTTACACAGCAATAGATAACTGGAATAGTCACCAATACATTATTGCATTATTGTTATTTTTATTCACTATTTCTTTGAAGTTGAAAATCTTTTCTCATGCATTTATTATTGGTCAGTTGGACTCTTTTACATTTTGGCTTCATGTAGAAATCTCTCAATTTTTTTTCTGTTATGTTTTCTGAGTTGGATGTTGGGCTTACAAAGGATGATGAATCCTAAGATCATAAACATACATAATACTTTTTTTTGGGGGGGGAGGGTAATGTGTGCTGATTCTGAAGCTGAACTCAGAACATAAGGACGTTCTTTTCAATCACAACTGGAGCTCTACCACTTCAGCCACACCTCCAGTTCTGGCTTTTTGAGTTTATTGGGGATACAAGTCTCTTGGATTTGTCTGTCTGGGCTGCCTTCAAATAGATTCTCAGATTTCAGTCCCTTGAGTAGCTAGGGTTATAGGTATAAACCACTGGTGGCTGGCTGGAATTTCTTGCTATGGCTTACTTTCTTACATTTACATCATAGTTTTTTAGAATTTACTTTGAGCTGGGTGCTGGTGGCTCATGCCAGTAATGCTAGCTATTTAGGTATGGCCTGAGTGGCACAGTACCAGCAAGCTTCTCGTTTTATTTTGAAGCCAGGGTTTGAAGTCTCATGCCTGTACTCCTACTTCCTACAGTTTGAGGCTGCTCTCAATTCATAACTGGGCACATTGGCACAGACCTGTGAGAAGTTGAGGTTAGGAGGATCATTGTTCCAGACCAGTATAGGCAAAAAGTCTTCAGAACTCCAGCTCAATGAAAAGTAGCCAGGCATAGCAGTGCACACTTGTCATTTCAGCTATGATGGGAAGGCTGAAGTATGCTCTGAGATCAGTTTCAGACCTATGTCTTCCTACCTATGCTCTGCAAAGCTGGGATTACAGATGTACAATCACCACTCCTGGCTTATTTGTTGAGATGGCAGGTTCTTCCTAACTTCCTGTACTGGCTAGTCTCAAACTATAATCCCTTTGATTATGACATGAGCCATGAAAGAAAATATTAAAGAGATCTCTATCTTATGCACTTAACAGTTAAGTAGTGAATATCCAGATCTTACTTCTTAGCCTTCTTAAAACTTTTCACTATGAGAAGATAAAGAAACCATGTCTTATTTACTTGTATGCTTCTCAGGTCATAACATTTAATTAAAGTTACAGAACAGGGGCTGGGAATGTGGCTTAGTGGTAGAGTGCTTGCTAGCATGCATGAAGCGCTGGGTTCCATACCACATAAACAGAAAAAAACAGAAGTGGTGTTGTGGCTCAAGTGGTAGAATGCTAGCTTTGAGCACAGAGAGGCTCAGGGACAGAGCCCAGGCCCTGAGTTCCAGCCCCAGGAGAGGCAAAAAAAAAAAAAAAAAAAAAGTTACAGGTCACAGCAACTATGAATGCTCATAATTTACAACTCTTGAACTAGAATATGTAATTTCAACATGCTTTCCACTAGATTTATCCTATTTGCCATTTGAATTATCTTTAAGCATCTGCTTGAACGTTCACCAATATCCTTACTTGTTCACAGGACTCGCAGTAAAGATGGCTCAACTGGAAACCTCCTTAGACATCAGCACACACTTTGAGCAGACCATACTGGACACAGTTTGGAACCAGTGCTGCTGGTGAGGAACTTACCACATCTTAAGCTGCTAAATATTCATGGCAGCACAAGAGGATAATTCTCAGAGTGAGAATGTCCTTGGTCAGCCAAAGGCAAAATTTGGAGAATAAAAGGCTATAGAAAAATAGAAAACTCAACAATATAAGCTTACAACAAAACCAGTTACCACGTATTATTTTGGTACCCATCTTGAGGGTCAAGCTCAATTATGAAAGTACTGTATAAAAACAAATAAGCACACCTGCTGATTCGCTGGGGGCAGCTTTGCTTTTCTTTTTAGCTTCTGGTAAAGGCTGATACGGTCTTTGTCCCACAGGCTCATCACCCTGGATAGCTGTCAAGTCATGCATACTGAAACTGCGCAAACGCTCTGTTATTGCTCCTTGGCTCTAGTTAATAGAGAAGTGGCATATCCAAGAAAAAATACAAGATGTAATATGCTTGTACTCAACATTTCAATGTTAAAACATTTCACTATAAAATAAATTAATAGTTATATTAATAATATCCCTAAACATTTTATTATACAATTTCTAGAAAAGTTGAAAGACTTGTACACTGAACATCATACATGTTAATAACTGGCTATTTTTGCTTTATTGTCTATCTATATTCTAGCTGTCCATTAATCCATTTTGTACTTTAATGAATTTCAAAGTAAGACCCTAGTACATCTCACCCCAAACATTAAGCATTATATACAACATAAAATGTCATAGATTACTCTTGGAAAAAAACAGCATCCATATTTGAGTCTTGATTCAACATTCTGTGTTAATGATACTAAAATCAGCACTTTAGGGAATCAAAGTTTATGATCTAAAGGATCCTTCCTTCCTTCCTTCTTTTTTGTGCTGGTCCTGTGTGCTGTTCTTGAGCTTTTGCGCTCAAGGTTAACACTCTACCATTTGAGTTTGTTTGTTTCTGGTAGTTAACTGGAGATAAGAATCTCACAGACTTTCCAGCCTTGACTGGCTTTCAACCGTGATCCTCAGATCTCAGCCTCCTGATTAGCTAGGATTAGAGGTGTGAGCCCTGAGCAGCTGGCTAGAGGAACTTTTCAATGCAAAGGCACTGTTTTAATGCTAAGTGAAGCCAATAGTACTAGCTCTACTTAGAACAAACTAGAAAAATTAAAAGCCAAAAGATTTTGGATATGAAATGATATTCAGTTTGTGAATTATCTGGTAAAGTGTATTTATTACTATACAATGTGACTTTAAGTTATTTTGTCTTAACTATATGGTAGACCCTGGGCACAGATGGATCTTTAGGTTCAGTGATTTTCATCACTGTTCATATTTGATAGAGACATTTTTTGAACTTCTCAGATGTACCTATACTCCTCCCAAGACTACAAAGTTTTGTATAAATTTTTTCCTAAATTTACTCACCTTAAATTTGCATAGCTTATCTGACTCATTTCTTATTTATAGCTAGATTAAAAATATTCTTCTGAAGGCTCTTTACACTTATTATTTCTTTTTTCACACATGTGAATTTATGCTTGCCTCTAGTTTTAACGTTACCATAGAAACTCATCCATGATAATTCATGTCTAAATTTCCAAGTCAAAGGTGTACAAACATTTAGACATTACTGCCAACTTGTATTTTACCCTTGAAGGAAAAGGACTTGATTCACAGCCTTGATTCAGTACCTTGGGTTATTGGTACCATGCTATGTCAAAACCAAATGTTGTTTTTATACCCCACTTGTGCTTTCCATTTCTGCCTTATTTTTTGAATTGTGATAAGAATGATTAAAGTGCCTATTTCTCCATAAAAATAATTGGATTTCACACGTTTAAAAATATTCTTGGCATGGGTTAGTTCATTATATTTGCTTCCTCTTTACTATATATCATTTACTTATTAAACAGATGGCTGACAGGACATTTCAAAGACACATTACAAAGAAGTGACCAGTGGCCATCTGAACAGATGCCTTGTTTTCTCAGAACCGCCATTTTCTTCATCTTGCTTTGAATTTCTGTCAGCAATTGTTGTTTATTACCTGCTGTCCCGACTCCCACAACAAATGGCATGCATACCCATCTCAACCAGAGGTCTATGTTATAGAATGGTCCACAGCACAAGGAAATGAGAAGTAGTAGAAACTCGAGAGGGTGGGGCCTAGTAGAAGGAAGTTAGGTCATTGGGGGTGTGCCTTTGAAGGGAATATCCAGACTTCAGGCCTTCCTCTTCCTGTCTTTGCTTCCTGATCCCATGAAATGAGCAGCTAGTGTTACCACTACATGCTGCCCTGCCACTAGTTCAAGCACTAAAACTTAGAGACACAATAAACCTTTGCCCTCTATAAGACAATTAAAGCCATTTTGGTATAGTAATGGGAAGCTGTAACATGCTATGTATGATATGCTCTACTTGAACAGGTGTAATTTCTTTTTTTTTCTTTTGGGAGTTGGTCATGGGGCCTAAATTCTGGGCCTGGGCACTCTCCCTCAGCTCTTCAGCTCAAAGCTAGCACTCTACCACTTGAGCCACAGCACCACTTCTGGCTTTTTCTGCTTATGTGGTGCTGAGGAATCGAACCCAGGGCCTCATGCATGCAAGGCAAGCACTCTACCACTGAGCCACTTTCCCAGCCCCAAGCAGGTATAATTTCTAAGGCAGGCTATGAGTCAAATGTCTTTGAATTAATCTACCTAGGTAGTGTATCATGTATGAACTTTAGTAATTTTAATAAGCATAATCAACAAATATCTTAGGGCTTATCTCACAATGAACTCCCATGCTTTTGTTTACTTCCACTGAGGAGTTCTGTATGTTTGCCTCCTGGGAAAGAAACTAGAGGAAACAGACAAATCTTTTTTTTTTTTTTGTCGGTCATGGGGCTTGAACTCAGCCTGAGTGCTGTCCCTTAGCTCTTCAGCTCAAGGCTAGTGCTCTACCACTTGAGCTACAGCGCCACTTCCCAGACAAATCTTATGTGTCTTCTTAGTCTCCTACTTTATATGGTCTACTTCTGATAGTGAGCATACTAAATGCATTTTTCCTCTGGTACTGGGGTTTGAACTCAGGGCCTTCCTACCTCTTTTGCTTTTCGGCTAGGGTTGAACTGTGACCATCTTGTCTCTTCCTTCTGAGTAGATGTAAATTACCACACAAGCTCCTACTCATAATATTTTCTATTACTCTTGTTGCTGAAGACTGTTCCATTTGACTGACATGTTTAATGTGAACATTGGAGTTTACACACAGAGGCTCAGTAGCCAACTACAGGCAGAGTAGATGGCACTGCTGTGGGTACCAGATACCATTCAGGATTAGAAAGGCCTAACTCCAGCATTTGTGATATCTACTTCTGTGTGCAGTGTGTGTGTGTGTGTGTGTGTGTGTGTGTGCACGCGCACATGCCAGTCATGGGGCTTAAACTCAAAGCCACATGTTCTCTAACTCAGCTTTTCCTCAAACCTGGCACTCAACCACTTAAGCCACACCTCCACTTCTGTCTTTTTAGTGGTTAATTGGAGATAAGAGTCTCATGGACTTTCTTGCCCAGGCTGGCTTCAAACAATAATCCTCAGATCTCAGCCTCCTTAGTAGGTAGAATTATAGGTACAAGCCAAAGGTACCTGGTTCATTCTTCTTCTTCTTCTTTTTTTTTTTAATATTTTTGTTTATGTAGTACCAAGGAATTGAATCCACAGCCTCATGCATGCCCAGCAAATGCTCTACAACTAAGCCACATTGCCAGCCCTTCTTTATATTCAAATATCTGTCTTTTTCTTAATACTAACCGGTTAAATGGCACATTGAAACAATATTTTGTATTAAATGAAGAGAATTTATTGTGCTTATTAGCACCTTTATATAAAGCTGTCAACCTATTATCTTCATATACATTGTTTTACATAACTCTCACTATCTCATTCAATAATGCATACCTATTAAATTCTATTTCTTGTTAATCATTGGCATGTTACATTATAACTGCAGATAAGGTTAATTCTCAGTGTTTAGAGAAAGATCTTTTTCCTCTTGATATTCGACAATTAATCTGATGAAATCCAGAAGAGCACTGACTGCATTTCCATTAGGGGAATAATACATTTTATTATTACCATTATTATCATTTTGGTGTTGATTCTGGGCTTGAACGTTGGCCTGGGCACTGTTTCCAAGCTTTTGTGCTTGAGGCTAGCTCTCTACCATTTGAGCCACAGCTCCACTTCTGGATTTTTGGTGGTTAATTGGAGATAAGAGTCTTACAGACTTTTCTGTCCAGGCTAGCTCTGAACTGAGATTTTCAGATCTCAGCCTCCTGAGTAGTTAGTATTACAGGTGTAAGACACCTCTGCCCAGCTCACACTGGAATATTAAGACAGATGGAATATATGCATCAACATAGAAACTTTTTTCCCTCTGTGTGTGTGTGTGGTGTGTGTGTATGTGTGTATCCTGGGGTTTGAACTCAGGCCTTGGGCATTATTCTGAGTTCTTAGAGACATGAGCCAAAGGCATCCAGTGAAAACAAGCTTTAAAAAGGAAATAAGAATTTTTTATAATCACTCCCTAAACTATAAGATATGCTTATGTATATCTCCTTTGGGTTTTTATGACTCGTTACATTATTAATACAGGCTTTCTCAACCTTAAGGTTATTGCTTCTTTGGGCTGGACAGTTGTTTTGAGGTGGGAATTGTCCTTTGCTTCTAGAATATCAAGTGGCCTCTGTGCCTCTACTCAATAGCTATCAGTGGCAACCCAAAATGTCCCTTGGTAATGGGAGTAGTGGGGCACAAAAGTCACTCCAGTTGAGAAACACTGTGCCAGAGGTAGTAAAATTGGTATTTAGATCAATGTGGATGATTTTCTGAAAATTTTATGGCTAATTAGTGACAAAACCAAAACTAAAAAAAAAAGTAAATTCAATGCTCTACAAGCCAATGCTCATTATACCAATCTGTTCTTCTTGATTGTAGGGAAAATAGTTTAGTTTTCTTTTCTGTTGTCTAGACGAATGCTATCTTTTTCGGAGGATGATATTTCCTAGTGGCATATTCTCAAATCCTTTCACAAACAGAAAGCCATTAAAACAGAGGGAAGATGTCAAGGATTCTTGATGTAATGATAATCATTTAAAGTCAATTAGATTCAGCAGCTTTATGGGTGAAGCTCTAATTTCTGTGTTTTTTTTTAAAAATTCACCGAATAATTCATTAAGGAAAGGCTCCTAGAGAAAATTCAGAAATATTTTCACCTGTCTTTCACAGGTAGTAATGCTGCTCATCTATATAAGACATCTGCATTTCTCTGTGAAAAGCCATGGACGTTGAACATTCTCAGCAAAATCCTTGAAGGTCCTTCACATATTTGTGCTTTGCTCAGCCAAAATAAACTTGTACACCGACTTTGCGAACAGATGCCTGGTAATGAGGTCATGGAACCGAGCAATATTTTCAGAAAATTGCTTTACGGTGTAATAAATGTTCTGATTACATTCCTGTTTTCATCTTTAACATGCTCAGGTGGTTCAACCTGGGAAATCTAGTCAGAGGTACTATTGTTCTCTAAAGGTCATACAAAGAGTTCAAGATTTTTTTTTTAGACTGACAGATATTCTTACATATGGTAAGAATTTTAAGTAAGTCTTATTATTGACTTTCTTGCAGTTTTTCCTTAAAACTGACCTACTTCCTGTTTGAGTTTCAACTCAGGACGTGTCTATTTCAGTGATACTTCTATGACAATACCTGTTTTTGACATCTCCAGAGATGAAACTAATTTTGGCTTTTTAAAAATAAGTGCTATATAACTTGAGAGGCAAATGGTGTCAATGTTATGCAGTGCTGAGCATATTTAGTGAGCATTTCTAATGAATAAAATAGATTCCAAGGCGGAATGGCCAATGTTCCTGTGCTGATCATGAGAATGGTAAAGTTGCCTCATATCTAGAGAATTTGTTGAAAGAGTCACAACATTACAAGTGGGGAGAGCTCTAAAAGAAATTTCAATTATGGGGTAGGTGTTTCTACTTGCTTTTTAATAGTAACTGATGGCTTTCCACTCTGGCCTATGGAACCAGTGAAGTGATTTTAAGACATAAATAATATCTAAAACAATGAATCACAAAGGACAACATGGTAGAGATAGATATAGGGTTACTTTCATAGTAATTTTACAGAAACTTATTTCTGTGAGGTGATGTTTCATGTAATGACGGAGTGCAACCAAAGATAGCTTAACATTTCCAGCTAGTGAATACAGACATTAGTGACAGCTAGACAGTGTCGGTGAGCAGGCAGCCATCTATCCTCTTCATGGCTGCCTTCCCAGCACTTTCACTGGAGGACAAATTTAAAACATCCTAATTGGGGAGAAAATAAACACATTTACTTGATTTGTAAAATCAAATTACGTATGTATGTATGTATGTATATGGTTGGTTTGTTTGTTTTGTGCCAATCCTGGGGCTTGAACTTAGGGCTTGGGCTCTGTTCCTGAGCTTTTTTGCTCAAGGCTGGCACTTTACCAATTGAGCCACAGCTCTACTTTTGGCTTTTTTCTTTTGGTAGTTGTAGAAAAAAAGTCTTCGAGACTTTCCTGCCTGGGCTGGCTTTGAACCACAATCTTCAGATCTCAGCCTGTTGAGTAGCTAGGATTGCAGGTATGAGCTATGGGCATCCAGCTCTGGCTAGTTTTGAACCACAATCCCCAGATCTCAGTAGCTAATATTACTGGCATGAGTCACTGGCACCTGGCAACAATAAATTTTATAACATGAAAAACTGTAAGTGAGTCTCTAGACTCACTCCACTGCAAATGGAGCCAGTTTAACCCATTTTCCCTTCCTGTCAGACAAGGATTTTAGTTCCCTTCCACTTCCTTTTCTCTCATGCTCCAATATAGCAAAATCACAGTTGTTAAATCTTTAGTTTGTATTCTAATTATTACAATGCAAATGCTGTTCACTGCTGGGCTGAGTCAGGCTCCATTATTTTCTTTTTTTATAAAACTTTTTTTCCCCCAGAGTTAATAGTCAAGCCCTTTTTAAAAATTTTCACTTGTTTAGCTATCTACTCTGTTTTACATAGCATCCAACACATTATTCATGGTGATTGGGGCAAATATGCACCTGTTATAGGTACTAGCTGTCTGTGTTATGAGTCCTCTGATTGGTCACATCCTGTGCTCTTACTGGGTTAATTATCACTGTGTAGCATTAATCATATTATATTCTCTTAGCTCCACACTTTGTCCCAGAGCAATTTGTGCTCTGGACTTGCTGCACAGCACCCTTTAGGGGACCCTATCACCTTTAGGGGATCCGATCACCTTCCTTCTGTGTTGGCTAATCTGTTTTCCCAATCCTGGGGTTACCTTTTTTTTTTTGTGGCTTGTTTTCTAGCTTTTGCAGAACAGATTTGCCTGACAAAGGATATACCTTAGGCAAATTTTATATTGTGTAGGATTAAAATTATATATCCCCAAATCAGACCTTACCATTATAGAAACCAAACAAGAATATCATGATGGCATGATGGATGGCACTACGTTGTCTTCAAGCTTCCCTGGTCACTATCTAGAATTTAATTACCATCCTGATTCTAGATTCTTTGGATGTCATATGCTTTTGGTTATCCTTAAGAATTTGCTTCTTATCTTTGGTGTTCTGGATACCTAATGATGTTGCTTACAGTTAGTCATTCTCTTCATTCACTGTACTGAGTACTTTGTGGACCTTGTACTGAAGACTCATGTCCTTCCATTCTATAATATTATCTACATAATTTCTTTTTATTTGAATGATTGTACATGTCTTTCCTTTTAGAAATCCTGGTTGTTGAATGTTGGATCTCCTGGATGATCTATTTTAGCAACACAGAAATCAGGAATGCATTTCTATTAAGCAAGAAATAACATGCAAATGGACTTCTAAAATGAAAATAATCCTGTAAGTTGAAAATGTTGCTGTTTCAGTGCTCATTTACTAGTCTATCTTAATAAAAGAAAACCTTTTGAAAGCAAGCTAACAGGAAAATTATAGTATATTACATTATATTACTATGTTCTAAGTAATCATTACTAATATGATTATCATGCATATATAATATAGAACACTGTGTGATTCATACACTTCCATTTAGTCCTCACTACACCTTGCCAGGTATGAAATTTGAATTTTTCATCCTATGAATTATATTAACTTTGCTAATTGACCCAATGGTCTCTCCAAAAAATGAAAGTGCCCTCATTTTACATTCCTTCACTATTTTAATTATATAAAATCACCAATTTTTAGCACTGTAATTTAATTTGGGACAACTAAAAGAACCTAATTTAAAAGCAGAATACTACTCACTGTCCTTAAGAGTAAACTCAAACTTTTTACTTGAAGTTAAATAGTATGCATAATATCAAAGTTTAATGGATTTCTACTATACAGAGACAAGTACCATGTTATTATATATACTCTCACAGATAAGCATATTACCCTACTTTATACATGAACTAACTAAGGAACTCAGAAAGTAAACTGTCTACAGTTACTTAGACAGTCACAGTCAGCCCTTTCTGGATATGAAACCTGTTTTCTTTCCATATCCCACATACTAAAAGCAGTTATGCTATGGTATGCTATGGTATTTAAAATAAACCACACCAATTACTACATGCAAAGAAATCCAAAAGCCATAATGCAAATTTTCACAGAAGACATTCATTTGATAGCTTGGCTTGCAAACACAGCAAATGACATTAGTAATTTACTCGCTAAAATTCCAAGTTTTAAGAATTTTTTCATGCCTTATTTTGAATAATTAGTTACCTCAAATTGATTGAAGTAGAGATGCAGAAGTAAGCCAGAAATCCTACCAAGATATTGCATGGAGAGAGAGAGAGAGAGAGAGAGAGAGAGAGAGAGAGAGAGCAAAGACAGAGAAAGAAGAATGGTCATCTTTACTTAAGGTGATTTAGTCAAACAGTCTCAAAATTAAAAATTTGGAAATTTGGCACAAAATGACATTTTCAGATATGTCATGTTGATTAACTACCTCGCATATTTTAATCAATTAAGAGTTTCAAAATATAACTATAGAAAACAAAGTGTTAAAGTTTCTTTAAAGTTCTCTATTTGTTCTTTATAGGATTACATGAAACAAACCAAAATTCTGCCACTGCTTCAGAAAATAAAAGCCACCTTTTTCTTTTTTGTCCATCATGGGGCTTGAACTCTGGGCCTGAGCACGGTCCCTCAGCTCTTCAGCTCAAGGTGAGCACGCTAGACCAGTTGAGCTACCGCTCCACTTCCAGTTTTCTGGTGGTTTATTGGAGATGAGAGTTTCATGGACTTTCCTGCCTGGGCTGGCTTTGAATCACAATCCTCAGATCTCAGCCTCCTGAGAAGCTAGGATTACAGGTTCGGCTTAAAAAGCCACCTTTCCTTATCTGTTGACAATGTGACTTCGGAAAAAAAAAAAGGCAGATGAAGAATTTACCTTCACTGCAGCAGTGACAGCAGCAGTAGCTGCCAAGTTTAAACCTTGCCGTCCGAAGTTCACCATGGTCTCATAGCCTCGCTCCTTTGCCTGCACGATATAATCATCAATTTCCTGGGAAAGCAAAAGCAAATGATGGTAGATGTCAATTTTATTTAGAAATAGTGTTATGAAGTGCTCCCCCCACAATAATAGGGCTTTCTCTTCAGCTTACAAATATGTATATTCTATGTATATGTGTATATATTCATATATATGTATGTATGTATGTATACACACACACACACACACACACACAGATACGTACACTTTTTTTTTTTTTTTTGTGCCAGTCCTGGAGCTTGAACCCTGGGCCTGGGCACTGTCCCTGAGCTTTTGCTCAAGGCTAACACTCTACCACTTAAGCCACAGCACCACTTCTGGTTTCTGTTTATATGGGACTGAGGAATTGAACCTAGGTCTCCATGCATGCTAGGCAAGCACTCTACCACTAAGATATATTCCCAGCCTGGAAATAACATATACTTACTCTTTCCTTTGAAGAAAGAAGTGGATGAAGGAATTTTCTATATATTAAACTTGCTCCTTTGGTATAGGGAGAGAGCAGCCATATGACAAAGGCGATCTTCAGCTCATAGTACAAGGGAAACCTAGTAAGAAAAAAAATTAGGAGAAAAATCTGCTAGCGAAAAATGAAATCACAAACTATGTGGAAATCATAAACATTTTAAAAAGTTTAGTCACTATGTTAAGTTTGCACATGGAAAAGTTAGTGATCAGAGAAACAACCAAAATGGAATTGACCAATTCATTAAAACAAAACTATAGTTGAGTAAATTATACAGTAAATTGATCCCTGCAGAGATTCACACCTTCATTTACGAGATTCCTCTGATGCAAGAAGCACAGGAAAGCTGCCAAACTGACCGTGGCAGTTCAGGGAGGGCATTAACAGCATTTAGCTCTGGTAGTACACCCACCCTGTCTACAGAGCCAAACTTCTATAGAAGTACATGAGAATACCTCCAAACATCAGCATATAACCAATGTGTACCACTCAAATATGTATATCTCCTTTGGCTGGGAAAATTCTACTTTCTTTTTTTTTTTTTTTGCCAGTCCTGGGGCTTGAACTGGGCCAGGGCACTGTCTGGGAGCTTCTTTTGCTCTAGGCTAGCACTTTTGCACTTGAGCCACAGTGCCCCTTCTAGCTTTTTTTTGTTGTTGTTGTTTGTTTATGTGGTACTGAGGAATTGAACCCAAGGCTTCATGAGTACCAGGCAAGCACTCTACCACTAAGGGAAACTTCCATTTTGACTTGGCTGGAATTACAAATTCTACTTGCAAGTGAAGGGGTGAAGGGAACCACGAGTACAGTAGAGTTGGAATTAGGGTTAAACAGCTATACCATTTTCCATGTGACTTTGCAGTGCTTTCCTGCAGGCCAAGGACATTGCCCAACCAGACAGGCTTAGCCACATGATTTGCTTTGCTAACAGAATGTGAATGTGACATATGTCACACACAAATGGAAGCTAGGAATGGCCTTTGACTCTCTCACCCCATTTCTTTCAACCTTTTGCTTTAAGCTTTTGCCTTCTGTCATGGGAACAGCTGCTTCCTCAGCTTAGGTCCTGAAAGGAGACTTAAAGCTGAGCCAAGTCCCACAAAGCTGTAGCTAACCATTTACCCACAGGCTGTGCAAGAAATAAATGTTTGTTGTTCTAAACTACTGTGTTTCAGGGCTATTTTGTTGTCATACTAAATGTTAATGAATATACTTTGAGTATATCAGCATCTTGTGGCCCACCAAGACACTAAGATACAGGATACTCTGAGCAAGGGTGGTGGTATGTCAGACAGGTAGCATGTGGTATAGGGGTGACTATGGGTACCATCAACAAAGCATCTCTGCTTTGTGGCCTTCTAGCATTTGTGTTCAACATTTCCCACACTTTCTAATAGTTTACACAGGCTACATTTGAAATCAGAAGAAATGAGAAGACATAAAGAAAAAGAACGTTAACACTTATGACACTTAGAATGATTTGGAGTGTTTTGCTAGTTAAAAACAAACAGAAAAAGATTATCTCAAATCTGTAGGTCAAAAACAAGTAAATGAATAGCTTTGTGATAGAGTGAAGAAAATGTATTTCAAATCAAAAAAGAAAGATGGGGGTTTGGAGTGTGTACACTTAATATGGAGGTGGCGGTAGGTTCAACCTCCCACACAAACATAGATGCAGACAGGGAGAAATTCATAAATAAGGGCAGGTTGTTAGAAATGTTTAAGACTGGGGCTGGGAATGTGGCTTAGTAGTAGAGGGCTTTTCTACATGCATGAAGCCCTGGGTTGGATTCCTCAGTACCACCTAAACAGAAAAAGCCAGAGTGTACTGTGGCTCAAGCGGTAGAGTGGTAGAGCCTTGAGCAAAAGGTCAGGGACAGTGCTCAGGCTCTGAGTTTAAACCCCAGGACTGGCACCCCTTCCCCCCTCCCCCCGCAAAAAAAAAAAGAAAAAGAAAAGATATGTTTAAGACTGATACCATTTTTTCCCCCTAGCAAATTCAATTTGACATAATGTGCTATAAGATTATGAGGGCTATGGGAAAGATAATTAATTAATTAATTATTAGGTAGTTATAGCTGTATAAAGTGGTTACAATTCCATAGGGAAAGATATTTTATTTATTTATTTAGTCAGTCATAGGGCTTGTAGGGTGTTGTCACTGAGCATTTATGCTCAAGGTTAGTGCTTTACCACTTTGAGCCACAGCTCCACTTCCAGTTTTCAGGTGGTTAACTGGAGATAAGGGTCTCATGGACTTTCCTTCTAGGCCTAGCTTTGAACCACAATTCTTAGATTTCAGCCTCCTGAATAGCTTTGATTAGGTGTGGGCCATCAGTATCTACAGGAAAGATCAATACCTACAGGAAAGAACTACAAGGGTATGAAATGGACAAGCGATGGAATGAAAGGAGTAACTGACTCTCAAAGTAGGAACAAGGAATGGTAAGGTTCACGTTGGTGATTATGAACTCTGTGGGATGATATTTTTGGCAGCATTGAATAGCCCAGATAAAGATGCAAAGAAGAGCTATTATACAGTTAATGTAGGCTGAATTTATGATGCATGAAAGTTGAAAATACAAAGCTATTTTTTTTGGAGGAGTTAGGGATTGGTACTGGGTCTTGAACTCAAGGCTTCACATTTGATTTTTTTTTCTGCTTAAGGTAGGCACTTTACACCTTGAACTATGCCTCAGTTACAGCTTTTTCTGGCTAACCGGAAGATGAGTCTCATAGATTTGTAGCCCAGGATGGCTCTGAACTGAGATTCCAGATCTCAGCCTCCTGTGCAGCTATAGGATTATAGGAGTAGCTACCAGCACCCAACAGCTTGAATATTTTAAAAAGGGATTTCTCCAAGTTGTTGGCAGGATTTAGATAGAGGCAGTACAAAAATATGGCATGAGAAGATTCAAGTTGTTCTGTTAAGTACTGTTCCTCAGTAAAATGTTAAAGCCATGAGGAAATAAATCTGCTTTCGTGTCACCTCATGCTATTTGGAACAGAGGAGCCAAGAAGCTGGTGTTGAGTGGGTGCCCACGTGGACGATGACGTGCAGTCTAAAGGTTCATAGATGAGTTTTAAGGATGGAGAAGAAGTGCTAAAAGCAGATGCTATAGCTTCAGAGAGAGGAGTCATTCAGGAAGTGATCAAGGAAAACAGTCTGAAGTCATCAATGTAGAAAATGGATTATGATAACCAACTTTCTCTATTCCAAGATGCTGGGGGGAAGAGAGTAGGAGGTTTGAAGGGAGTGACATGTGGGGAGTGATCTGCCTTCACTTGAGGGGAGCTACAGAAAAGTAATGGTCCTGTGGAAAAGCAGAGAAAGACACCCAGATGCTAGATAATTAAATAACTTAGTTAATAGCCAGATGAGGTTAAGAGCTAGGATACCTGATCATGAAATCTGTAGTCTGGCCCCTTCCAAACAGTAAAACTTACCAAGCGACTGTTTGATCAGCCACCGTTTCAATCACAGTGTAGAGCGCAAAAACAATCCAGTACATCATCCAGCGAACCTGGAAATCATAATAATACTCATGGAACAATTGACTAAAATTATTGACAACTCTGAATACATCCATATAAATACATATGTGTTTGTAGACATGCAGTATGTTGGGTCAAATGTGGGAAATGATGGTTTGGTTTTCATCGTGTTTTATATTTGAGTCCCTTATATCACTACATCAAGAGTCCTGGTATACAAAAGAGTCAAAGCCTAACATATCTCTGAGGCCTGATATAACATGAATCTAAATCAAAGAATGGAAAAATAGGAAATACTTTTCTTAACTGGAACAAAGATCTTCTTCTTCTTCTTTTTTTAATGGGCTGGTAATGGAGTGTAAACTCAGGGACTTGGCACCTACTCAGCTTTCATGTTCACTGGCACTCTACCACTCTACTACTTGAGCCATGGCTCCAGTTGGGCTAGTTAGAGGTGGAGTCTCCCAGGCAGTGGGAACCTCCATCTCCACTCTGCAGAATGACAGCTGTTCTGTTCTGGCTGGGCATGGGTGGGAAAGGGAGTGGATTTGAGAAAACCAGAGAAAGTTCAGCAAAGTTGTTTTTATGGATGAGAAAAGGAGCCACCCGAGGAAGGTCTGGAACAGACTCTGTGACCAGTGATGCTCTTGCCTGCTCTAGGTGTTAGAGCAAGGGCTGAAAAGAGAGGTCCAGGACACAGACACAGGAGAGGCATGGATATGACAACCTCCTTTCCTAAAAGAGGCATAGGGCAGAGTGTGCTAGCAAGTGGATCAGTCAGGTCCCCTTTGCAGGGGGGTGGGGCCATGTGTTGAGTTCTCACTGACAATGTGAGCTGAAGCTTGTGAGCAGTGAATGTGCCTCCTGCACATTGTCTCCTCTTCTTCCTGATAGCTTGGCTGGCAGGAAGCAGAAGAGCCTTGGAGGAAGCTATATTGAAGGAGGCCAGAGCCTGAGTTCTTCAATAATTGCAGGAGAGAGCTTCCTTGCTGAAATGAATTCCTTGCCTCAGGCTGGTCTGCTATGTGAGAGTCTTACATTTTATATTCCTTTGGTCACTATATTATTATTGCATATTACGATCAAAGTGTTTTAGATCCCTCCCACCCCCAATGATCAAGGTCACACTGTACTTATCTGTGGGAACTGAGAGGGCGAGGCCTTTCTAGAATTGTAGCATGGCTCCAGAATTTGATAGGCCTTGATCACAGTGCTAGAAAGTCATCTGGGACACAGCTAAAGCCCTACTTGGTGACCTGTGAGAACTCCACGAGGATGGGGAACTGAAGAAGAGGGCTATTTTCAGAAACACTTACTGAGCTATCCTTCGGGGACTCTCAGAGGTATGTGGGAAGCAGGAGGAGGGTAGGAGGAATGATGTTCTCATGCAGCGGACTGGGACAGAGCCAGGGGAACACTGCTGTAGATTATTATTGTGATTCCCTTGGGAAGTATGGCTCCTGACTTTGTGAATTTGTTAGCTATGATCTGTACTGGCAATATCTGTGACTCCAGCAGCGATCCCCTCCTAATTTCAACAAGTCAAGGAATCAGACAAATAAGCTTGTCAGGACCATGCATAAAATTTGAAGTAAATATATTCTGAATGAGAGTCCAATGATATCACCAAAGTTCAACAGTAAATATGTCAAGAGGGAAGAGTGTATGACAATGTTGCTCCTTGAGCTAGTCTGCTTACTTGGCTTGCTTTTCTTCCCCAAGAATTTGCCTAATGCCTACAAGACCTGGCACCAAGAAGAGGTTCAAAAATATTTATTAAAAGAACTAAGGAACTAGGCCAGTGCCAGTGGCTCACACCTGTAACCTAGCTACTCAGGAGGCTAAGATCTGAGGATCACGGTTCAAAGCCAGCCCTGGCAGGAAAGTCTGTGAGACTCTTATTTCTAATTAATCACCAGAAAACCAGAAGTGGCGCTGTGGCTCAAGTGGTAGAGTGCTAGCCTGGAGCTGAAGAGCTGAGGGACAGCACCCACACCCAGAGTTCAAGCCCCATGACTGATTAAAAAAATAAAATAAAATAAAAAATAAAAATTAAGGAACTGAGTGAACTTTATAAGCCAGATTGTAAATTTCCATCTTTCCTAATAATTCAGTAAGAAACTTGTTGTTAATGTGGTCAAATGAAGTGACAGTCATGTTCAATTTTGGAGCACTTTATGCATTCAATTTCCCATGACTACAGAAATGTGACATATATTAATTTGTAAATAAAGTCCTCATATAGAATCTTCAGTCATATTTCAAATAGAATTTCTTTTTCAAGGAAATATCCTCTTATAATTAGGCAATGTCTTTTGAAGATTATGGAGTCATCTGTGATATAAAACCATACAATCTAAAATTACATTCCAGTTTATATAGTGCATGGATCAGATTATCCTACTTAACAAGCCAGCACTTGCTTTATTATTATTCAAAATCCATAAGGCTTTCATAAAGCCTTAGCATTTCAGAGATCCAGACAGTCATGTGATGGAGTTCTTAGCTTTACTCTCCCTAAGGAATGAGGATATTTAAAACCTAAGTGAATACAGTGAAATGAATGTACCCATAGGCTAAATTTACTATCTAAAGACCATGCTCCACTTAATAGGAGCGCATTTACATAGCCTGATGCCAAAAGAAAAGTTGACCTCATTTTATGATGCTTTCACATTTTTCAAGCAAAGCAAGTTTTTATATTTTATATTCCCAGACAAAATTTTTGTGAAGATTCTAGAATAAACAAAGCAAATGAATTGTAGGCTACAATAATAAAACAACCCTCTTGATTGCTATACAGAAACTGAGAGCAATACACAGGCCCTTAGTACACAGGGAGATGCCATGTTCTAGTTATGATAAACACATTGGTATAAATTTTTTTTTGTCATAGTCACGAGTAATTGGCACATCAATTAAAAAGTATTTTCCTTTTCTTCTTTTATTTAGGTCTGAGACCAGGGCTTGAACTTGGTATTTGCCACTTTTTGCTCATTGCCTAAAGTTCTACCAATTGCCTCCAGCCACCAAAGTAGTAATCTTTTTTTTTTTTTTCTTTTGGGTCGGGTCCTGGGGCCTGAACTCTGGGCCTGGGTGCCGTCCCTCAGCTCTTCAGCTCAAGGCTAGCGTTCTACCACTTGAGCAGCAGTGCCACTTCTGGCTTTTTTTTTTTTTTTTCCTTTTTGCTTATGTGGTGCTGAGGAATCGAACCCAGGGCCTCAGGCATGCAAGGCAAGCACTCTACCACTGAGCCACCTTCCCAGCCCAGTATTCTTCTTATAGAAGTTTTTTCTCTGGAGTTAGAACTCAAAGCATTATGATTGCTAAATTGGCACTCTACCACTGAGCCCTATTCCTCCAAGCTCTTCTTTGGGCTGGTTATTTTTGAGGTAGAGTCCAGAGTGTGCCTGGACCACAATCTTCCTATTTTACAATTTCGATCATATCTGGGATGACAGGCATGCTATCTACTATGCCTAGTCTTTTCTTTTCTTTCTTTCCTTCCTTCTTTCCTCTTTTCTTTCTTGCCAGTCCTGGGGCTTGAACCCAGAGCCTAGGCACTGTCCCTGAGCTTCTTTTACTCAAGGCTAGCATTCTACCACTTGAGCCACAGTGCCACTTCCAGCCTTTTCTTATAGGTATTGCATGCTAACTGATTGTGCCACTGGAGCTTCTCCAGTCTTTTCTTTTTCTTTTTTTTTGTCCGTCGTGGGGCTTGAACTCTGGGCCTGGGCGCTGTCCCTCAGCTCTTCAGCTTAAGGCGAGTGCTCTACCACTTGAGCTACAGCGCCACTTCCGGTTTTCTGGTGGTTTATTGGAGATAGGAGTCTCACGGTCTCTCCTGCCTGGGCTGGCTTTGAACCTCGATTCTCAGATCTCAGCCTCCTGAGTAGCTAGGATTACAGGCGTGAACCACCAGCGCCCAGCTTTCTCCAGTCTTTTCTGAGTATGTGGTACTGAGGAATTGAACCCAGGGCTTCACGCATGCTAGGTAATCACTCTATCACTAGGCTACATTACCAGCCCATGCCCAGTTTTTTCTACTGATACGGTCTTCATGGACTTTTCTCCCTGGGTGTGTCTGCAACTATAATCTTCCTGTTTATAGTCTACTATGAACCTAGATGACAGATAGGCTGGGAAGGGTCTTCGGATCTGTGATCCTCCTGTTCTTAGTCTCACAAGTCGCTAGGATTACAGGTGTAAGCCATTGACATCTGGCAAAAAAGTATTTTCTTTATTCTTCCATATAACTTATTATGCTATGATAAGTATAATAGCCATGACAGCAACATGTTAAATGATATAACTATTGTACATTTATAGTTATATGATAAAAAGAAGAATTAAAGTGATACCTTAATTTGATAGATATTACTTATGGCCTATTATGAACAAAGCCTTTGACATGAGTCATACACTATTATGTCAAGATGTTCCTGTCTCCAAGAATCTTTCATTGGTGGGGGTTGAATATAAGACAACGACACATAAAAGAATGAGTATAGGCAGTTATAGCACAATGTTTGATCTCATATACAATTACCAATACTCTATTACAGATTATAATACACATTATGTATTATTTACTGCTTTCTACAAATGAAATTTCCTGACTTCTAATGGGAATCCTTTCCTAATTATTCTATCTCCCTCTAAAGGTCATACATAAAGCTGGATACATTATAATTTTCATTTGTAGCATATCTGTGGGTTGGTTTATGTAACACCTGCCTCTGCCTTTCAGCTTAAACAACCAACAGGGATTTAAATTGTCTTTGTTCATCCTCACCTTCCCAGTGCCTAGCAGCCTATGCTTGGTGGAGCAAACATAGAGAAACTGGCTTACTGAACTAGCCTAGTTTTAAACTTAAGAACTATTTCTTAAGCTGGTCCCTGGTGGCTCATGTCTGTAATCCTAGCTACTCAGCATGTAAAGATCTGAGGATCATGATTCGAAGTCTGCTTGTACAGTATAGTCCCTGAAACTCTTAACTCCAAAAAGCTGGAAGTGGAACTGTGTTCA